ACATTATGGCAATGTGCTTTTCTGCAGATTTTGTCATAATGTTGACCTTGTTATGGTGGCTGCTATAAGGACCATTTGGCAAAGAAGGCTTCTAACAAACAAGCCACTATGAAACAGACTACTATAACAACTTTGCTGAAAAGCAAAGATATGAGATATAATTTCTTTCTTCCTTTTTTTTCATGTGCACAATGTCTACCAAAATTGTTTGATAATCATTTTGCTGTCCTAAAACAAATTTACCATATGGAACCATATTTATCATAGCAGATGAAACAAGTGACCATAGCATTTTAAATATGATTGCAAGCATTCGAGGGGAGCTATTTCTTATTGATGAAAGTATGCAATCATCAAACTGTAAGTCAGGCTTGCATTCAAGCTGTTACTGATGTTGACATTGCATTTGGTGATGTTACTGCATTTCTAATTGATTCAGCAGCATATTGTAAAAAGGCACATTGGGATGTTTTATCCAATATATTTGTAAACCATCATGTCTTATTGAGCACACATTTTACATCTTGTTGATGAGCTATTCCCACAGTGGTTGCAAATGGATAATGTTGTTCAACTCAATATTTCATTAAGGCAGTTTTTTTTCCCCGCCAAAAAAAAAAACCTGGACAAAAACAGATATCTGAAATGGCTTGAAGCAAGCCTACTAGCCTATGCAACTAGTGAAGCAACCCAAGTTCCATTCCTGCCAAGTATCACTCTTCATTTGTCCAATTTTATGGAGGATTTTTCAAAAAACAAAAAAGTCACAGCTTGGCAATAGACCAAATTTTGGAATTAGTACATTATAGTAAATTGCACCATGCATCAAATGATAATTTACGTTGTCATCTGCATTTTATCAATGAGAACTACATTCATTAAAAAAAAAAGTATAAAAATATATTGTATACAATGTAGTGGAAGATTTGAAGCATTACATTGATATTAGTAAGTTTAAAACATTTGGTCTAGTAACTCTGTCTTATGTCTGAACTGGAAAGGTTACATCAAATTTGCAGGATGTATTCAGTACAGCTCTTTCAAAGTTGGACACTTACTCAGTGTATGAGTTTTACAAATCAGCTCGTCCGTTTGATCCTAGACAGCTATCATGTATTAGCCATGACACTGGCAGTTTTTCAACCATCAAAGATTTGCAAGATCCATCCACTTAACTCTTTGAAGAATTTCAAATTCATAGAAACTACAAAGATGACCTACCAAATCACTTCAGCATTCCAGCATTTTGGAGTGCCATTAAAAGCAGATTTCCCATTCTGTCACAGAAAATCACTTTTTTTGCAGAACCAGTCTTGGTGAAATTCTGTTCTGAATTGAAAAATAAAAAAAAAACAATGAAACTAAGACATTATTTAATTAGAGAAGCTTTTAATTGTTTTTATGAATAATATAAAGGCAATGTTGTCCGAAGGGAAAAAAAATTTTTTTGATGAAAAATGAATTTTTACAAGATTTGTTTCCTCTCTTGTTTTTAATTGTATAATTTATAAAGCTTTTAAATCTTTCACAATTCAGTTTTAATGGTGTAATGCTTAGGAAATATTGTTATTAAGTAAAACTCTATTTACTAATCATATATTGTGAAGCTTATTACAATCTCAGAACCCAGGATATTTTTAAAAAGGGATTTTTTTTTTTTTTTTTTTTTTTTTTTTACATCCTAGTTTTTCTAAGTATGTTACATTATTATTAAAATCTTGTGTTTTCAGGGTTGTATTCCCCCCAATCATAAAATTTATCATCTGCTTCCAATTGTGCATTACCATACTTGTTAACATGTTAGGCTGTCGATAAATCAATCAATATTTCAGGGAAACCAGACAATGTGGTTAAGAAATGCTTGTATACATTTTATGCTATAAGTAATATTTGCTTCAAATCAGATTATTATAACTTTAAATTTGCTAATTTTCCTCAAATAACATTTCAGAAATATATACTTTATTTTTGCAATATTTTTAAACCCAAGAATTATTTACATATGTGTCAAAATGGCTGATTACATCACTTTTACTGATGAAAAAAAATTGATTCTGATCAATATAATTTCTGTTTGAAATATGCCACAAAGTATTTTGCTTAGTAAATTTTAAAGCTTTCTTGAATCTTTCACTGAAAGATTCAAGAAAGCTTTTTCATTGTTAAAAATTCATTTTATACCTTGTGTATACTGAATTAGTGGAAGTACCTACACTAAAGTTCTATGGATGTTTGTTACTAGTGTAGATATTGAACATTAATTTTCACAAAGCATTTGCTCTGTAACAGCTCCAAAGGTCTAACTGCGAAAATAGCAAACAGCTTATGCTGTACTTTAATGGAGATTTGGAGAAAAGATTTTAAACCTTGCTGATTTCAGTTTGATGTGATTTTATTTTTTATACACTAAATCAATTTTAATTTATTTCACTAACTCTACAGGTTTAAATTTTGGGTGTGAAGAAAAAACTGAGCCGTTGATACTTTAAAAAAAAAAAATTAAATATATTTTTACATGACGTTTGATTATGGGCTGAAGTATGAGGTTTAAAACCCTATCAAGCTGGAACAACTTATCCAATGGGTGAAATATTCCAGCTAGTAAAACTTTTCATTTTCCTTTAATTTTCTTATTTTAATGACATTTATATATTGTTACACTAAGTATTATAATGAATCAAAAACAGAATTTTATGCTGAAAACAATTCCCCAAAACCTGAAGCTGAATTAGGGAAAATTTGAAACAAAATGTGTCCCTCTACATAGCAGTTCAACACTTTTTTCTAACAAAATTTGCTGTTTCTTAATACTTTGTTTAACTTTTGGAAGGTATATTTTGTTATTCCAATTCCAGATTTGTCATTTTACATCATTAAAATACTTAACTATTCTGTACTAGCTTGATTTTTGCATCTCTAATTTGGAGCTCTCATCTTGGGCTGTGCCTCTTGTTAATGACCATACATTGTCTTTTTACAATTGGTTTTCTTACTATCTGCCATCAAAAAGTTTAATCTCTGTATCTTGTGTTATTAAGATTGTGTTCAGCAATAATAAATCCTGGTAAGACACTTTTCTTAGGATCACTTTACTGTTGAGGTTAAATAAATCCAGTGAGAAGACGCATTCTTCTGTTATGCTCCTTTTTTCTGTGCGCATACTTAATTCATTATCCTTCATAAGATGTTACCATATTTAAAACTGATAAGTACATACATATACCTCATATTGTATTTCAAATTTAAAGATAACAGAACTAAGAACTTTGCATTTTAAACAAGTTACATTTTCTGTGTCATTCTAGTCATAAATTCTTATTTAATACTGTCCTTGATTGGAATTCTTTTTTTGTTTTTTTTATATGATTGATTAGTTTCACAATGAAGAAATGACTGAAATAGGTTATGTCAAATTATGTGAATGTAATCAATTTTAGCTAGTCATTTGACCTAGTGGTACTGAAATTGATTATATGCATATAATCAATCTTGTCCACTGTTAAAATAAACTTTTTTCTGAATCACTATTGCCTAACTTTAAATTACTATTTGATATTATAGCTTTATTTAGTCTATCAAATTAGAATATACTTTATAAACTTATTCATTTCAAAAGGTATATGAACCTTTTGAAATGAACAAGTTTCCCAAAGAGTAGACTATTTTTTGAATATAAGGAAAGCACTGCATAGATTTAAGGTTTTGTATTGGTAACTTGGGATTTAATGTTGAGGCTGTAATTATTAGCATGTTATTTTAGAAAGCAGTCACAAAAATAGAATTTATGAATAAAATACCTTTTAAGTGTATTCTTTGAAAGCAATTTAACTTTTGCTTAGTGTCAGGATGAAATAACTATATCATTTATGCTAATTTTTCTCTTTCACTTCTGATTTTCAATTTATGCCTAAGATCTGTATCTCTATCTCGAGAATTTAGAAATGTTGAGTTTGTCTGATTTTCAGCGATGGCCAAAGTTTTTCCAGAGTTTATTTCAAGGTGTACTTTACCGAGTGTAACAGCAAAATTGTACAAATTGTGTTATGGCATAATTGTCCATACCACAAAATGTTTAATATTTAAAAAAAAAAAAAAATCACTAAACTAATTGAGTGTGGTGTTGTTGTTGTTGTTTTTTTGTTTTTTGTTTTTTTTTTTCAGGTTTTTAGAAAGGATGTTTAACCATCTTTACACCATTTATTATAAGAATCAATGATAAAACCCTTTGAGTTATTCAGCTAGAAAGAGAACAGGTTAAAATCATTTTGTGTCAGTTGCACTATGTCTTCCCAACTGAGCAATGGTGAGAGGGAAAAGATCATTCAGGCCTTCAGTAATGGTACAAACATTCATACTCTGACTTCAAATCCATTCAAGAACCATCCAGAGAACAGTGACTGAGTTTAAAAAAGGTGGAACAATAGAGAGGAAAATTGAAAAGAACACAAAATTTTTGCTATTTTTCAGTTTCTCATTTTTAGGCCTCATGAAAATCAAGAAAACCCTCGCAACAGTAGAATAGCAATGTTTTTATAACTATCCATAACTTCAACTTTGTAAAAGGGGGTCTAGGCATTGAATAAATCTCAAATTTCCTACCTGGGAACAATTTTTTTTTTTTTACTTAGAGTTTCAGCTTGTACTAATATTTAGCCCAATAAAATAAAAACATGGATTCACATTGTTTTTGAAATTACTCTGAATCTACCTTGCAAGATAACTTTGCCAAGGCTAGCAACAAATATTTATTTCATTTGATCCTGGATATATATAAATATATTAAGGTGTAATTATTGAGAGTCTTTTGGCAAATATTTTGATCTAAAGACTATAAATATCACTGATTGTATTAATGTGCCTATAACATTTTTCATCTGTCTTATAATCTAAATTTATGAATGTCTTTGAAGTTTATTTATAAAATCTTAGTTGGTCAGAGACTCTCAGTTAAAAAATAATATCTGAATTAATATTTACACCTGTGTGTTTATAAATTTCAGCCAGCTGTAACCTATGACCAAACCAAGGCTTATTACCAACCTACACAGGGGGTGGCAGCAGCAGCTGCTGCAGCTGCTGTAGCATCTTATACAGCTGCAGAGACTCATTACCAAGCAGGTAGGTGCTATATTTCTTTTATTTAGGGACCTACACAAAAAAACAATACTAGGGAGTGGGGTGGGGGTTTGAGTATTTTAGTTTAAATTTCAAGCTGATTAAATTTAATATTTCCTGTAAGCAAAATACTTTGCTCTATTTCAAAAATTAATATTGACCAGAAGGATTTTTTTTTTTTTTTTTTAGTATAGTAGTTGTCTTTCATTGTAATTCTAAATAAAATGTACTTTTCTGGGACTTTATGAGATGAATATTAGCTGATTTAAAATATAATTAATCTGATTTAAAACAACTATCATTTACTTTAAGTTTAAAATACAGCAGAAATGCATTATTTAAACCTAGCAGTAGCAACTTTTTTAATATAATTTTTAAGTAATTGGTAATCTTAAAAATTTAGGCAAATATTCTCTGTAATCTAATGTTTTATTGACTTTTAGAAATGTTGGCTTTAAATTTACTATAGTTATAACTTATTTTCTGATAATGTCATGCAAAAAAAATTTAAATTCTCTTAACAAAATATTGGTGTTTGATTTATATTAAGCTTTTCCATTTACTATTAGTAAATATAGTTTTCACTAATATCATCTAAAAATAAGATTTAAAACTTAAATTTTTTTAATTAAAATTTTAAAAAAATGAAAATTCTTGTATAAATTCGTTATCCATCGATAAAAAAAATTTCTTTAAAACAATAATGTCCTTAATATATCTTATTAATAAAAGCAATTAAATGCATTTCTAATTAAATAATGTCATAGTGTTATTGCAGTTTTGATTTAACAATTCAGAACAGATTGTCAGTAAATGGTGTTTCTGTTTGACAAAAAGAAATTCATGATTTAACTAATACAAATATGAAGAGGCTGATATTTAATTTTTTAATTTCAAAAAAATAAGTGGGAGTAACATGTAAAAAAAAAAAAAAAAAAAAAAAAAAAAAAAATACCATGATTTTCTAAAACAAAATAATTTGTGTTTTTCCAAAAATAATTTCGTTCATTTCTGAAAGTCTTGAGCATTTAATTAAAATCTGAGTTTTTTTTTTTTTTTTTTTTTTTTTTTGCTAGAATTTCCAAAATAATGTTTTTAACACTGAAAAAGACACTAAAATTCCCTATAATAATCTTTGGCCCACCTGCTGATGCAAGAAAAACAAGATTTTTAACCTTAGTTTCAAATGTGCTAGAAAGGATTAAAAAAATTAATAAAATAATCAAAAAATACTTTAGTCTTCCTCTTAATAATAAGCATTTTGATAATAAAACTTGTTTTTATCAAATTTGGGGCCTTTTTTTTTCATCATATTTTGGGCAGTACTTGCTTTTATTTAACACTATTTTTGCTTTGGCAGTTGTTTTTGCTAAACTCTTTGCAGTCAACACTGGATAAAATTTGTTCTCCTAATTGAATAATCATAGCTTTTAAAATTGGGGAAAAAAAAGAATTTGTCAACTTGTCTTAGCTCATGCTTTACATGATTTTCTTTTAATGTAATTATTATATACTAGCTAATTAAATACAACTGCATGTTCTTTTCTTAGATTTTCACTTCATTTGATCGGTGTCCTACAAATTGGCTTACATTTATCCTCCATTTGTTATATAAATGCAAATTTATCCTCCATTTCATGAATTGATGAAAGTTGTATTGATGGTGTGTCACTTTACAATAATGTTGAATTAAATGGAGGCAGGAATGATTATAGCGATAGTGTTGACATCTTATGGCAAATTTTTGTTTGGATAATTTGCTTGTAATCTAACTTTCAACTACAAAGTATTAATTTTTAGTAGCAAGAAAGATTTCATTACTACCAATTCATTTACATTAGGTTTTCTTTGTGTGTGGTTCTTACCTCTTTCCATGCTCTCCAAAATGTGAATTTTAATGTTTGCAATATTTACAATTTGTACTGTAGGAAATTTCCAACTAGTACAATTATATAATGTGTATATGAAACCAATAGTTTGGAACTGTCAGTAGGTGAATCCATTCAAAGAGGAAATTTTTCCTATTATATTACAAATTTGTTCCACTAATTTTTCTTTAGTACTTACTGGAACAAATTGCAAAACTGTAAAAACATTTAAAGACATTTGATTCATTGCTTTGGACAACCAAAAATGTAAGGTGATAAACATGGTTCGATAACTCTTTTCATCTTCCATTGTTTGAGATGTAATTCAATGTAAAAAATTTTTTTTTTCATAATAGCTTTTATATGCTGCAGTTCATTTGTTAAAACTATTGTGCAATCTGAAATCTGACTATAATGCATGGCAACTTAAATTGGTGCTTGTTCTGGTGTACTAATTTTTTTTTTTTTTCCCCTCAAAGCTAAGCCAACATATACTACAAGTACAACATATCAAACCCAGCCACGGCAAACAGCAACACAAAAAGCTGCTCCAGTGCAAGTAACAACTACACCAGCAACCTATGTTTATACAGCTACCACTACCCCTGCTGCTGCTACAACATATGCCACACCTACCTATGCTACTACAACCAGCTCTGGATCTTATTCTGGTAAGTGTTTTTTTGTCTTTTGTAATCTTTCTGTAAGGCTATTTTCTTGTATCTCTCTTTCCCTTGAAGAAAAAAAAAACAAAAACTTACATTTAATAATAAGGACAAGCTTTCCTTGCTGTTACACTTGTATTATTATGCTGTTAATGTATTTTATGTTAATTTACCTATCAATTTCTCTATTAAAATGGTTTACTCAACAACTATTTAGCTCCATCTCAACTTCTCATAATTTATTTAGTTATTTGATATCTGGGAAGTGAGCTTTTATTTAACTCTAGTGCTAACATACATATTCTGTTGAAGTTTGTTTTTATATACCTTGGATATAGGACAGTATTTGTCAAGTAATTGAATATATAAAAATCTTTTAAGGAATTATTTTATTGCAGTGTGATTTCTAGTGCATGGCCTAATTCATGTTTAAGATTGTTGCTATTGGGTTATTTTGCTTTAACCAATTCTTTCTAAGATTTGTATTACAGAAAATCTAGATAAAAGTATTGATATTTTTTGCATGCTTTGCAAACGAAAGGCTATTTCATAGATGTTAAAGAAATTTTCTATAAACCTTTTACCTAAATTGATGTAGTGAGTGCCAGTTATTACTTGTTGTGTATTGGTATTATTTCTTATAACCATTAATTTACCATGCTTTCCTGATTCAAATTACAAAGATATTTGCTTATTTCTTTAATGTTTTTATTTTTCTTTGCATGGTTTAATTTTTCTTATATTCTGAAGAAACTTGGTATCACTAAATATAACCTTAACTAGTTTAATATTGAGATACTCTTGCAAAATCATAAATTGTTAAAGAAATTTTTCATGCATTAAATTCTTTAAGCTGCTTATAATATTAGGTAGTGTAGGACATGTACTTATTTCATGATTGATTCACAAATTTATCTTTTTGTAATTACCATTTCCTCTTTTGATATATAATGCATGTGTGCTGGATAAGTTAAATTTGTTCAAATTGAGAAAATCATTCTTAGTAGTTAATAGTAAAACTTACTTTCTATTAACTAAGTTTGGATTTGATTTACTGTGATATTTTCATTTTTGTAAACTGTAATTTTAATCTTAGTATTGCACTATTTTCCCTTGGAATAATTTTAATTTGTCTTTTATACATAATGATTCAAAATATTTTTTTTGCTTTTTGCAATATTTAAATTGGTTAGTTGTAGCTCGGTTTCAGATTTTGCTGCTTTTTATATTTTTGTAATAAACTGCAAATTGTTCTGACTTTTTTACATTGTGGCATGTTGCTCATTTCTTGTCATCTGTGTTGGTTATTAATTATTAATGCTTTCAACGTTGACTGGTCAGATTAAGATATCCTATTTTTCCAGTTTCCACACTGCAGATGTTCTGAAAATAAGTTATAATGCCAGAATTCCTTTTATTTGTCACAATAAGTACATTGCATATATATATATATATATATATATATATAATTTCAGTTATCTAAATTTTAGTTTTTTTTACATATACATTTTATATAAAGTTATTTCTCTGTCTTATACAAACTTTTCAACATTCTGACATATATTACAAATTTAGAAAATGTAATGTCCTTTTGTAGTATTACTAAGTATTACTTAATCTTGGTGTTGGTTTTTTTTTTTTTTGTTTTTTTTTTTTTTGTTTTTTAACAGTTTTTTATTTATATTAAGTAAAAATTATCATAATCTATTTCTTTGTTTGTCCATGATAGTTTTTTGTTTGGAAATGTCACTTAAGTGACTATTAATCTTTTATTTTAATCTTTCCATATCATATCTTTTTCTTTTTTTTTTTTTTTTTTTTTTTTTTTTTTTTCCTCTTCTCTCCCTATGTAATTTATTAAGTGAGAGAGAAAGTAAACTAAACTCTCCCTTTCACTTGAGATTTCTCCATCTAGGTGCTGTGGGTTTCTCCTGTTGTCTGGTGATGAGTATTATCACTAGGTTGAAGGACAAACCATATGGCACTTAATATATATCTGCAACTTTTTAGTTGGCACATGTTATTTTAAAGAACAATCTCTTTTTGGATAGTGAAAAATACAACAAACCCTATGGCACTGTCAAACAACTCGGAATGGATGACGCAGAACAGCTGGCCAGGTATGTTACCTATTCTTAAACAGTGATCAGGATAGTTTGGACTTTTAAGTGTCTTGGTCAGTAATTCAATTGTTAGCCATTGAAAGGCTGAATAAAAGGTTATGCATTTGTATTACCTAATATTTACAACCTCCACATCATATATTAGGTTTTATATTTTAATAAGTAATTATTTATTTTGCTAAAATTAATTCAAAAGTAAATGTTTATTCCATAATTCATGGCCCATTTAATTCATAGTTTGAGGGCCACTTTTAACTTAATATTTTTTACAAATGCTTTCTTTTTTCTTTTTTCTTTTTTTTCTTTTTTTTTTTTCTTCCTCTCTCTCTCTCTCTCTCTTTATTTCCCTCTGTCACAAAGTTTTTAACTTTGTAATCATGTTTTGACAGCACAATTAGCATTTACATTAACACTTTCTTTGAATTGTTATATCACTGTGGTATTGCTGGAATCTGATGTTCAGATGTATTTATTTGCCTGCCAAATGACTAAGCCCACAGTTTGGAGCAAAACTTGTGATATTGACCGAAACCTGTTGACAGTTCTTGTATCTATGTTGCACTATAAATACATAAACACTAACAAATTCTAAAGTTTTCTTAAATTTAAGAGCTTATTTTTCCCTGAAAATAAGTGTGCTGTTAAAAATCGAACATTTAAAAAAGAGTAATGAAATAAATGTTTGAATACTATCTCAATTATCAAAGTGTTAATCTACATCTATAATATTACATTCTTTAGATATTCTGATGAGGATTATATGATAACTCTCTGATGTCGGAGTTGTGATCTTTGAACTTGTATATTGCTTGTCTCAATGGAAGGAGTTCATCTGATGACTTGTCTCTGGTCATTCTCTAGTTAAAATGTTTGGGAGATAACAATAATTTGCACATCACTACAGATGCTTTTAAGCAATTTTTAGGAAATGCAATTGAAAAATTATTTAAAACTAGTAAGGGATTGCTAAAAGTTAATATTTGTAGTGGGTATATTTTAATTAAAACAAATAGATGACAATGTAAACAGGGAGGGTAGAAGTATCAGTGAATAACATTGGTTCCTGCAGAGTCAAGTTGAACAAACTCCTTGCATCATTTTATTGTTCAGTTAGGCAAAATGTAGTATAAGCATTGCAATTTTGTTTTTGAAATATTCATGTTTTTGTTTTGTGTAAAGACTTATTTTATTTTTATCTTAACCTATGATTTCCAAACAATAAATTATTGGTGTGACAAATATAAGAATTTTCTGTATAAAGTTGTTTTTTTTTTTTTTTTTTTTTTTTTTTTTTCTTTTTCTTTTTTTTTTTTGCTTGTATTCCATACTGCCATAGCTTCTTGGGATTTCTTTTATGGCTCTTGAACTTAGATAGTGTTAATTGTTTTATATATACTTTTTCATCTTTGCTCCATTTCTCACAAATGTAAGTTAGGGTAGGCTATTTGTATGAATTTTTGACTTTGTTTTCATTCAATTAACTTTCTTTTTAACCAGTGCATCTTGAAATTGCTTGCAATATTCTATTTGCCAGCTGTTGCTTTTTGCATGATACATTTCAAGTTCATGGGAACTTATTACCTTTTGCCAGTTTCTTAATCTGGAAATTGTTTTTGGTGGTGGAAACTCTGTTCAAATGATATATCTATAATGATTTTAACATAGAGATAAGACCTGTTTATTTATCTTAAAAACAAATGAAATAATGGGTTCTGTAAGTCACTGCATCTTTTTTTCCTTATAGTTTCTTCATAATTCTTTTTGCTTTAAGTAAATTGCATAAATCTTATTAGTTTATCCCCTTGTATTAGTATGTTATGTGCAAGAATTTATGCTATTTAAGTTTTTGATGATTACTAGATTATCATTGTTTGCATTAGACTTAATCAGATATCTATATAAGTTTTCATTAATCATTTTGATATCTTTATTTCTTAATTGCATAACAAGTCTGATTAACTTGTTCTGTGTATATTATTAAATTGTCTTTTCTTAAATACCTAGATGTTTATTCCCTTACAGGTTATTTTTATCAAATTAAAACATCTATATTTTCTTACTATTATCTCACACTACCTAATTCAGTTTCACACTTGACAATCATAAACTTTCTATAAATTTTGTATACAGAATGCTTGAAAGTTTGAGGAGCTTAGTTTAACATTTTTATCTACATAGATGGTCAGCAACATTGTTTTTGCAAACTTTTTAGCTTTTTTTTTCTTTGCATGCATTGTGTCTATATTTGTACTTCTTGTAAAGCACCATACATATTTGTTCAAATAGAGCTTTTTCACTTAAGTTCACATGATACTATGCAGTATATATGTATATTTTACATATAATATTTGCATGTTTTGTTTTTATGCATCTGTGTCAAGTAAATTTTGATTACCTATGTTTCTTTCATTAAAGGATGATACTGTTACTACTACTAATCAATTTTGTTTCAGTATCCTTTGGTATATTTCTTCTAAAATATAAATACGGTTTTTGCAGCTGGTTATATTAGCCATTGCTATATGGAAATTGCCTTTGTTTTTATTCTATTTTACTACCCTTTTGACTTCTAATTTTTTTATGATGGCATTACACAAAATTAATTAAAATTTTTAAATAAGACTTTCCTGCTTACAATTAATATGCATTTATTTTTCAGTTGCTAAAAAGTATGGGAATAATTTGTTTTAGGAACTAGCTAGTGATCTTTGTTCAAAATTGTTTTCATTTGGATTTTTCCACCTTAGCAATTCAGTTTTGCAATTTATTTAATAAATTGTAACCATCTGTAAAGTTAACATTTTTACTTTTATCTTTTTATGTCATCATTTTTATATTCCACCTAGTATAAATGACTTTTCAGTAAGCATATTCTAGCAATTTTACATATTAAACATTCCTTTTATATATATATATATATATATATATATATATATATATATATATAATATTTTAAAATGATCTTTTCAGTTGATTGAAACTTTTTCTTTGTTACTTTTGATCAGGTTATGATGCTGCTTTATATTCAGCAGCCACTTCCTATTACCAACAGCAGCAGCAGCAGCAACAAGCCAAGACCACCACCAACTGGGGTTTCAAGAAGCAAGCCACTTTTGGGCAGAAAATGCAGAAACAAAAACCACCACCAAAACAACCCCAGTTACATTATTGTGATGTCTGTAAAATCAGTTGTGCTGGACCACAGGTAAAAAATTTATTGTTTGTAAATCTGTAATTTTAAATAGTTATTAAAAGGTATATTGCTTATTTATGTTAAAGTTAATTTGTTGACCATTTATTTATAATTTCTACATCTATTGTAGACATACCGAGAACATTTAGAAGGTCAGAAACATAAAAAGAAAGAAGCTGCCCTGAAAGCTGGTGGTACTACTCAGCCTGTTGGTCGTGGACAGAACCAACTGCGTTGTGAATTGTGTGATGTAACCTGTACAGGAGCAGATGCATATGCTGCACATATCAGAGGATCAAAACACCAGAAGGTATGTTATATACTGTAGTCTATTCTATAAAGTAATTGTCCTTCAAACTTAGTTGGGTGAATTGTTAGAAGTGTTTTTTTTTTTTTTTTTTGGTTTTTTTTTTTTTTGTTATTTTAATCATGAAAACAGTTTGTTTTCAAGCAAAGTATTGTTTCTTGATGTTTAAATGTTTAATCAAATTGTTAGCTACTTCCATTTCTATGAGAATCATAGGTTTAATGAGCGATTTATTTTTAAGTGGCTCTTTATATTATGAAATTCTGGAGGCTATGTAAATCACTTAGGCAGCTTTTTGTGGGAATGTGTCTGAAGGCAAGTTTTATTTCTAAATTTTTGTTTTTGTGCTAGAATGTCTTCCTTTTGGGTTGTTGGTAATTGGTTTATTAAAATAATGTTCAATTCCTCTCAAATTTTGTAGGTCTTGAAGCTGCACACAAGACTTGGAAAGCCAATCCCTTCAACTGATCCAGTTGTTGTGTCCCCTGGTCAGACAGCTGGTTCTACATCTGCTGGTACTGTTACAACTACCACAACGGCTGCAGCGAAGTCTCCTACCAGCCCAACTCCAACACCAGGTGCTGCTGCTACTACAACTACTACATCAACAGGTGGGATGTCCTCATCCTCTGTTGTCAAAACATTGACCAAGCCTACAACTGCAGCTACTACTATTGCAGGACAAAGCTCTCAAACAATCAAGAAGGTTATGGCCACTCCAAAAATAACATTTGTGGGTGAGTTCTGAACATATAACTGCCAGAATAATATTAGGATAACTACTACTAAAATCTTCATCCCCAAAACCTTATGCTGTCTTAATTTTTATTTTATTTTTTTTATTTTTTACTTCAAACTTTTATAAATTGATTTTTCCCCTCTTCTCCTTTTTAATAAGCCTTCATTAGATATTAATATTTTAGATTTTAGTTTGCAGCCACCAACATTCCCTACTCTATTAAATCTAATCCATTTCATTTGGAATTCCTACTTTTATGATTTTTTTCCCTTCCTTTTGTAAATCTTATAATTTGTCCCCTTAATTGACAATACATTGAAGGTTTCTGAAATTCTTAATTTATTCAACCCATTAACACTGCTTTGACCATCCTGACTTCAGTTGTTTTTGATTGTACAAATATTTTTGATACTGGGCTAGGGTTTTAAATTTTTCTGAAAATTCAAAACTTGTTCTTTTGTATGAAATTTGTAAGGTTTGCTCTACAGTAATTAATGACAATTTTAATTATATTATCATACATGAATGCTTTGGTGTTGTATATATTTCTAAGTGGGATTTACTGTGATTTTTTTTTTTTTTTTTTCTCTCTCTCTCTCTTTGTCTCCATTATTTTGTTATTAGCCAGTCATTTATTAGTTTGTCATTGTTGTGGGGTTTGTAAATGCAGTGGGTTTGGTGGCTGCTGGTGCCTGAAACCAACCGGCCCAAGTGGTTGGATGGTGAGGCTGGCTCTATAGTAATGTGCCTGGGGTTGGATCAGCACTCAGAACCAATTTTTTTGGATTCTCCTTGACTTTTGAGGTAAGCACTAACAATAACTTAATTCATGTGAGTCATTTTTGGAACAGTCCTCTGAAAAATTTAAAGTAAAAATAAAACTTATGGCATTCAGAAAATCAGATTTTTAAGAATCTCAAGCCAAATGTTATTCTTGGGGTCTCAGTGCAAACCTTGTTGGTTTTTTTTTTTTTTTTTTTTTTTTCCCTCTTCCAAATTTTTATTACAGCACCTTGCTCTCTTTAAATCTTTGTTCCATTGCAATAAAAATGAATATAATTTTAACTAGAATATGTCAATGACATTTAGTGAAAATAATTTGAAATTTGATTTTACTTTATGGATTTGACTTGAAATTTTATAACTAAAATTTCCAGTAATTATATAATAACCTTTATATTCATTAAATTTTTTTCCTTACAAAATTTCATTTTTCAAAAGCCAGTTTTATGTAGAATTATGCTATTTAAAAAAATCAATTCTTTATAAACTAGTATTCCAAAATTTGTAAAAACTGAAGATGTCATCTTGTTTAAAAGGAATGTTACAAGCTTAGCAGTGAAAGGGGTTGAATTTATTTTTCTAGATTTATGCTCACATTGTCCACTTTTTTTCCCCTAACTAAACCTACTGTGCACTCTGTTGCCTGTGTACACACACACATATTCCTTGACAGGCTATTTTGTCACATTATCAGTTTACCCTCATACCCTTAGGTGGAGCGCAGTTGAAGACAACTGGAATGAAAACAGAGGAAATGAAAGTAGAGAAAATGGAGGTCAAAGCAGAAACTGCTGGGACATCTGAAGGTGAAAGTAAGTCATTTTTTTCCTTATTTTTTTGTGCAAGATTTAATACCTAGATTTTACTAAATAGTTAAATTATACTGATACTATTCTTCTTTTAGGTAAAACTGATATGGATGAAAAACTTAACCTGCTTGGTGAGAAAGATTTTCTTCCTGTTGGTAAGTTTGTTTCCCTTTTTCATAAGCTGTTTTAGTATTGATGAGTTATTTTTATGATTCTCCATAGTCTTCAATTAATGTTCAAATACCTACTGCTTTGAAGCTTAAAAATGTAAGGAAATGCACACATAAATACTTGAATTTTGGAAAATTTGCTATAATTTTTTTTTTTTTAGTGGCACTTTTAACAGGTAAACTTTGGAACAAAATATCAGTATTGCTTGACTTTTATTTAACACAACTTTCTCCACCTATAAGAATGGATATAAGCTATTAGTATTATAAAATTGTAAACACTACAAAAAAAATTATATGGAAAATTTAAACAAAAAATAAAACAACTTTGGCATTCAGAAAATCGGATTTTTAAGGATCTCCAGCTAAATCTTATTCTTGGACTATGAAAAATTGTCTGGTTTTAAATAAGAAAGTTCTATAAAAACCTTTGGCAAGGAAACCAGTTTTGACTTTTGGTTATATTCAGCATGGTCAGATATATCTTTCAAAATCATAGTAATATGGAGTTACCGCACATATAATTAATTCTTTTTAATAATGGTGCCACATTAAGATTTTCACTAATTTACCTGTTAATTATCAAGTAACATTAATTAATATTCCTCTAGAATTTTACATTATGTCTTCAGTACACTGCTGTGACTCATATTTGCTTTCCTGCAATGCTATTTATATTTAGACTTTAAGGAATCCTCATTGTTTTATACTTGGCCAACATGTGCCAGCAAAGAAATATGTTAAGCAGATTAATTAATTTGCTAGCACATGCATTTTTTATTTAAATTTGTCATTGCAGTAATGATTTTCGTTAACTTCAGATTTTAAGAAAAAAAAAGAGTAGACTTCCTGAAGACGGGCAAATGATGGCTGTTCTGTGCTTGTAGATGTTATACCATTGGAAAGAATAGTTGCTCTAAATAACCGAGATCAACTATTGTACAAACCATTAAAGCAAACTCTTTGTCTTCACATGCTTTACTCACAGAGCAACCTTTAATTTGTTGAAAATTATTTCCATTAAGTGTTGATTTATAAGAGGAATTTCTTCCATTAAATAATAAAAGCATCATTGAGTTTTCATATTTGGATTACAAGACTGTCACTAAAAATATGGCCTAGATGTTTCATATTCAGTGTTCTTGCAGATAACTCTTATTCTTTTCTGTAATCTTTTTATGCTTGTATTGATAAAACAGATAGCTTGTATCTAGATAGGGAACAAGTTTTAATGAATGCACAAAAATGAAAAGAGTACTATAAGGATGAATTTCCCATAACATTTATTTAACTTGTACAGAAAGATCACCCTAAGAGAACTAGAAGTTTGAGGATTGGTGGACATGATCTTAATACAAGATATACAGATGACACTGTTGATGGCAGACTAAGGAAGAAAACTGAGAGAATTATTAAACAAGATAATAAAAGAAAGCAAGAAAAAGATTAACAAAGAGGTGATAAAGGAAAACAATGCATGATTGGAAGCAAGAGTCCAACATGTAAACTATCTAGGTAGTGTAGTAATAGATGATGCATTGTGTTACACAAATCCAAAGGTATATATGAATAGTGATAGATGCCTTTCAGAAACTCTTTTTTTTTTTTTTTTCTTTTTTTTTACAGTAAGGTTCACCCTGTACAAGGCCCAGGGCCACTCAAGGTAGAGGGTTACATTAAGGGGTAGTTTATATGAATAGGAGGGGAAGATAACAGTTAACTCTAGACTTAAACAGGTTAAGAATGTAGTGATTGAGGAAACATCCTCTTGGAAGTGGTTTGTGGGAAGAAGCTGTTCAAGTGGAACTTACTTCACACTGATGGAATACAGAAGAAATATGGGTGGTTTACTACCTATGTAAGGTAGCATGGTAGGTCCTAGCCATGAAGGTTAAACCTGGTGGAACTAAGGATTGTAGTTTGTCCAAACACTTTCCATGGAAGTAGTAATAAAGCAGTGAATAGCTTGCCACGTCCTGCTTGTAAGAGAGGTTGAAGTGTGGAAGATAATTATTCTCCAACAAGGATGCAGAGGCACTTTTGTACTCTATCATTAGGGACTTGTCAGCTCCTGCCCAAATACTAAGCAAAATATTAAGAGGTAAGACAATATCCTTAGAAGAAGAAAAAAAAAAATAGAAGGGTACTGAACTGCTTTGTAATATCTAATCTTGTAAATGACAATGAATGCTAGCAATCTCCTCAGATAAAGAGAACATGTGAATAATGAAGATGTTTCATGGAGAATAGGAACTACAAGGAAATTGTTGCTAACAGTCGCCTGAAATTCTGGGAAATTGAAGAAAGAACCTGGAGAATTTAACACTCACAAGACACATTACAGAAAAGTGTGGGTGGAGGATTGAGTAACCAACCTGAGGAGTTTTAAGTGGATGGAAGGCAGAACAAAGACATGATAAAGGAGCAAATGTTATTTGGAGCAACAATTGATGGATGTTGTGGAAAGTCGTGATCACCCATTCTCTGAAAGGATATTGCATATAAGGTCAAATATGTGTAGTGTTGTTTGCTTGTATAGCAGAGGTTCTGCTTTCTGCATTTATTTTGGAACAATAGAATCTCAGACGAATTTAACATGTAAAAGAAAGCTTAAGAAAAAGTTTGGTTTTTCAACCTTTTATTTGTTGCTGACTTTACTGGATGAAATTACTGTTACCATTTTACATTTTGTCAATTAAGGTCATGAATATATTGAAGAAGTGAAAAATGAGACCGGGAAAACAATTAGTTTCCATTGTAAACTCTGTGAATGCAAGTTTAATGATCCTAATGCCAAAGAAATGCACATGAAAGGTCGAAGGCATCGTTTGCAATACAAGGTAAGAAGTTACTAGGATAATGGCAAGTATTTAATCTTTAGTCAACATAATTAACTTCATAAAAGCTACAAAATTATAATTTAATGTAAAAAAATGTTATCAAATACATGTATAGTTTCTGCATAAATAGCTTTAAAAAAATTAAATATATCTCATCTTCACTAGGATGGTAAGAGATTTTAATTGTTAATTATTTTATGATGCTGAAAATGTTTAAAAAAAAAATTGATAAGTATGTAGTATAGGTATGAATTTCTTACAGAAATCTTTATTTCTAATATAAAAAGAATAATAAAAAAAGAACTAGTTAGATGTCAATTTTAGCTACTTTTATGTATTTTCTAAGTTCAAGACTTGTTTTAGATGTAATATAAAATAGAAAACTCCTCTTTAGAACTTGGTGTAATCATCAGTTATCTATAAATTCTATTTTGTATAAAATATAATTTTTATTATTGTTATAGAAAAAAGTTGACCCTAATCTCCAAGTAGAAGTGAAACCTAGCATTCGTGCTCGTAAAATTCAAGAAGATAAATTACGCAGACAAACTCAAAAGGAAGAATTCTGGAGACGGCGAGAAGCAGAAGATCGCTGGCGCGAGGAGATGAGGTACAGCCTTCATAATCTTTTTGAAAGTTTAAAATTGAAAATATCAGGGATGTGTAGAATAATTTTTCATCTTTCTCTCTTCCTTTCCTTACCTTCATTTTCAATTTTTACTTCATATTTTAACTAGTAAATAAGCTTTTATTTAAAGCTTTGGTAAGTAAGAAGAATGATCATAATAGTCAAATAGACACTTTTTTAAAAAAAATTGATGTTTCTGATTTTCTTCTTACTCTTAGATGTATTAAAGGTTTTTTTTATATCCAAATCAGTAAAAACCTATTTGAATATGTACAAGAAAAAAGTTCTCAGCCTGGCCAAGAAGCCCTTCCAGAAAAAAAAAAAAAAAAATGGATGTGGAGTTTTATACTTTGTTTAGCTTACCAAGATGAATATTAGCACAGTTGTGCATCATCTTCCTGCACAATATGCTGCAACTTTTTTCATTTGATATATACAATTAAATTCTGTTACTTGACATGTTATAAAATTACCAAAACTTATTTCAGAATGGAAGAGGAAATGTACTGGGGAGAACGTCGTCATTTTGAGGAAATTGAATATTATTCTCAGTGGCATCGCAGGTCTGGTCATCCAGGTGGTCCCATGCCTCCTCCCCCATTTCCACAGCGACCTGGTGCTAGCGGCCCTCTTGGAGTTGGTACTTCATCAGTATGTTATCCCAGTTATTTTTCAGTGTTTGTAAAATGTTTTTAAAAAATAATGCAATAGCTTCTTAATTTGATTGATTGATTTGCCTTGTGTGTAATTAACCTGAATATTTCTCTAAAAAAAATAAACATTTTCTACTTTAACTCCTTTTTATCTGAATGATAAATTGTTAATCTTTTTTATTAACTGGAGTTACTAGTATTTTTTAATATAATTTCTCCAACCATAAATTTCTCAAAGTAATTCTTAAACATTAATCTCCAAATATCACTTCTTATAACCGATAAGTACATTCTTTCAATTAGCAATACATTCATTATTATTTCTATTTTAATGAAATGTTAAATTGTTAACTGGATACTATTTATAGTTACATTCAGGTTTAGGGATTTACATTTTTTTATATATTTATACAAAATTATCAACAAAATAACTTTGTCATTATAACTATTGCTTTCTCTCTCTCACTAAGCTATATAATCAAAACTATGAAAAGATACTTTATTATAGCATACATTTTATTCCAAAAGTTCAATATCACAATATGTATTTAGACATAAAGTAAAACAAAATTATACTATTACAATTTCTTTTTCTATTTTCTGTTCCTTTCTTTACTTTCATTTTAATGAAGCAGACATTAAGTGCCTCTATCTTTTTTTTTTTCTCTCTCTCTCAAATCTTATCCCTTGCAATCAAAATGGAATAGTTCATTATTTATCCAAAGTAATAGTAGAGTATAATATTGTCTTTTATTTTAGCAAAATGTGTTAAGAGGGGAAAGTTGATTAAATAAATTTCAAATGATGAATTCTATATATAATAATTTTATCAGTGTATAATTGATTTTTTTTTTTTTTTTTTTTTTTTTTTACAGCATTTACGGAAACCAGAATCTTCTGATGACAGACATGTTATGGCTAAACATGCTAGTATATATCCAACTGAGATAGAAGTGAGTTTTGGGTGCTTTTTTATGCTAATTATAAGAATAAACATGTCAGTTTGTTTACTGTTAATATAATGAAGTAATATGTCAGAATTATGTCCATTAAACTAAGATATAGTGATGTGTTGTCATTTAATTTTATTCTTTAATTTTCAGCTCCAGGCTGTCCAAAACATTGTGTCCTCTTGTGAAAAAGCATTGAAGTTTGTATCTGACCATTTAGCTGAAAGGTAAGACTTTTGTATTTTATATAGCCTCTTTAATATCAAATTATGACAAGTTTAATTATTGAAAATTTTTATTCTAAAATTTCTATATTTTAGTGATTTTAGTCCTAAACCAGAAGAACCAGCACCAAAAGAAATGAAGAAAGAAAATGTTGTAAAAGATAGGTAATTATTTACTTTGACTTTCTAGAAACTTTAATTTTATATGAAATGGATGGTGGTTAATGTAACTTCTATTCTTTCTTAATTCATCATTAGCAAATGCATTATTTCACTATTTCTGTTTTATTATAGTGACAAGAAGGATGATGGTCCAAGAGCCTTGAAAGGAGTCATGCGAGTTGGTGTTTTAGCTAAAGGTTTATTATTGCATGGTGATTTAAATGTTCATCTTGTGGTCCTCTGCTCAGAGAAACCTACCAGAACCTTGCTGGAGAGAGTTGCTGACAGTTTACCTAAGCAGTTAGCTGTAAGTATTTAATACTTCTGGTTATTATTCTAGATTAGATATCAATTTTAGGTTTAAACTACTTGTTAAATTTTTTATGAGATTTTTCATAATTTCATGCAAAAATGTAGAAAAATTTGGGTGGAATTTTATGGTAAGCTGTTAAATCTCCCAAATAAAATTTGGCCGTTATTTTCCATTGTGATCGAAGCTGTTAATTCATGTTCATTTTAACTATTTTGATTTGCATGAAGTATTTAGATGATTCTTGGCTTTGTACAGATTGACATATAACATTTATAGCAACTATTGGAGCCTGATTTCCTTTTGTTTAATGTCAGAATGCAGTAGCAAATATAGTTGGGTAAATACCAAAGCTATTTTAACATTTTTTTTTCTCTATCATACCCAAAATAGGTTTTGAAAAACTTTTACTGCAGTTATTTATTTGAAGGGAATTTCTTTTTTTTTAATGTCTGTAGTTTTAACTTTGTGAAATTTTCCTATTAGCTTGTATTTTAAAAGAAAGTAAAAGTTATTGATTTAAATGTATTAATTTCTTATTGATTTTAGACTGTCACAGATGAAAAATATGAATTAAGACGTTGTGTTGAGGAAGCAGCTATCATTGTGACAAGTGAAAAGGAGCCCAAAACCTCCTGCACGGTCACACTTACCTCCCCTGTGATGAGAGAGACTAACCTGGCTGAAGGAGGTAACTTAGATGTACTAATAAGTGCCACTTTGGGAATTATGTAAATGTGTTCTCCCTCAAAAATCTAGGTAGAAATTGAAAGGGGGAAAAAAAATCTTGTTTTTAGAAAAATTCTTAATTTGTTTTTAAAACTTTATTCTGGTTGAGTATATATAAGTAGGTAGATATCAGAAATTTCCTTTCAGATTTGTATTTTTTTTTTTTTTTTTTTTTACAATTCCTTATCTGTTTTTAGAGCCACAAAGTTATTAATTGAAAATGGGGTTAGGTGTAGAGGGAATTTCCTTACCAACTTTTTACAATTATACACTTAATTGTTGATAGCTTCATTTTTAGAAGCTCTTTTTTCCCCCTTTTTATTTTTTTTTTATTTTTTTGTTTCAATATCAAACTGCTGAAGAAAAATTTTTTAACTAGGCTACAGCAAATACTATAAAAAAAATTGCCAGTTTGTTTAGAAAGGGTATAACTTGATTGGCAAAAATTACTAAATCAGTTTTAAATGAATGACAGCAGATTGTGTTCAAATATCTATTTAATGGCTTGAAAACATTGCAAATGGTATGACATGTAACAGGCTAGCATTAATAATCAAGATATTGACAATTTAGTAATTGAGCACAAAAGCTAAATTTTATTTCAGCTGGAATTTGGTCTTTTATATCCTGTATATAAAGCTTGACATTAGTGATAGGGCATTTTAGAATTTATTTCAAGTACAATTCCTTTTTCCTCAAAATGGAAATTGTTGCTGGTTATGTATTCATCCAGCTTGACTTTCTACAAGTATACCAACAGATATTTATTACAAATATATTATTTTTGAGCTACCAAAGTCTATAATTTATTTTGCTCTATTTAATAAGTTTGTTGGGATATTTGATGTTTCATAGCAAATTTATTGGTTTTTGTCTTTAAATCAGTGTTTAACTTGACATTCATTTTTTCAGTTTCTCAATGTTAATTCTTCATATTTTTCACCTAATTTTTCTGAATTATGCATTGTTGTAGGATTGTTAAAATATAAATTCCAGATTTAGTTAATTTTAAATATTTTTTTATGAGCAGGGAGAACACTTATATCCTAGTTTTCTCTAGAAAGTGTTCTAAGTGGTATGTTGTAATATTTAATATTTTTGTCATGTCTTCTATTGTCAATTTATTCTTTCTGCTTTTAGAGAATTGAAATTGTATTCTCACATATTGTTTGCTGTAATTTTATTGTAAGTTAGACTAGACCTAAACCCTTAAATTGCAAACTCACAAAAATACAGGGTACATAGTCTGCTGAAGCAAACTAAAATCTATTAAGTGGTATACCATAGGTTTCAAAAATGATTTTGTTCTTTCCAAACATACATTTTGTAATTTGGGTCTTTTCCCTTGCATGTTGATTTTTCATTCTTCAGTCCAGGAAATATTTTGGGTATTATCACTGAGTGTAGAAATGATTATGAAATAGGCAAATTTACAATAAAATTAAACCATCACTCTTAATTAACTACTAAGAGGTTTATTTATATATATATATATATATATATATAGTTCTGTTATGATTACAGCATGATTTATTTTATGTATCACCAAAATTTGTTTGGGAGTGTTTGAGTTTTTGGGAATGGTTGCTAATATTGTGTAGACTGAACTGGGACCATAAATGGTTAATAATCAATATTGAATCAAAAGTAGTTTGTTTTTGTTTTTTTTAATGTGTGTGTGTATGTGTGTGGTTAACCTCATGTTTAACCCTGTTTTTAATTGTCTATTTTAAGATTGCTTTCATATGTATCTTGTGATTGTAATTTGCAATTTATGGGTCAGTTTTTAATTTTAAAGAGGATACAATTTCAATGATTAATGCTTTTTCTTTCTAAAAATTGTTTCTTGTATGTAATTAAGATGCTTTTGTCTAATAACGTTTCGTGCCAAGCCTTTTACATGTCACCAGGTGGCGAAAGGATGAAGAGAATGGAAGGATTTTTGATCATGGCTTTATCTACTCATGGCTTTATGGATGACTGGATGATGGCATTCTTCCCACCCCTTGCCACCACCTTTACCTATTGTGATGTCTTAAGAGTTCCCGAATTGCAGTTCTACTTTCTAACTGCACCTTTCCTTCATACATGTTCCCTTCTCTTTCATCAATTGAATAATACAGATTCTGCCTCAATCTGATGTCCTTATCTTTTTTTCTGAAGTCACATTCACCATTACTAAAGTATATTATTTATTTATTTTCCTGCTTGCTTTTTTCTTTCTGTTATCATCCAAAAATACAATATAGTTTTAATGTTGATCCAAATAAGAATCAAATCCCCCAAAATAAATCTTCTGTATTTATAAGAAAAAATTTGATTTTGTAACTTAATTTCCCTAAAATTTTGTTTTATCAGAATTTAGTTGTCGTCTGTGTGTGTGTATCTGTGTGTGTGTGGTTAAGTGTATGGTGTTTTTTTTTTGTTTTTTTGTTTTTTTTTTCTTAAGTGGGTGGGGAGCAAGTATCCAATTGCATGTTGTTTCCTTATTTGTGACAATTGCTGCTGGCGCTGCTGCGTTAGATGCCATCAATCCATCTCTATAAGCCATGTAGCAGGTTGCAAGCCTGAGAGTCTATGGTCAAACACCCATTCCAGCATCACTGACATCTGCATCATCATTGTTTATAGAGACAGTAAGCGTGAAAGACCCACCGGATGTTCTGGACAGGCAGAAATGTCTAGATGCTCTAGCCGCACTGCGACATGCTAAGTGGTTTCAGGTTCGATTCCCTTTTTTCTACTTTGCAGCCTTATGGTAGTTGTTCATTGCTGAACCCAATTGTTACAGTTTTGTTTAAACATTTTTTTTTTTTTTTTTTTTTTTTTCCTTTTTTTTCTTTTTTTTTCTTTTTTTTTCTTTTTTTTTGTAATTTTCCCTTTTAATCTTTTTTTCTTGAAAGAAAATTTTTTTAAATCATTAGCTCTTGTGCAACAAAATGATCAATCTTTCAGAATAACATATATATATATATATATATATATATATATATTCGGAATTAGATACAATCTAAGTGTGTATTGTTCTCTGACAGTGTATGAATTGATAAGTCAGTCTAAATTGAGAGCATGGATGGATGAATTGTAATTTTTCTTTCAATTTAGTAACATGTTTTGATCATGTGTGCAGGTTTGTTTAATTTCTTTCAAATATTTTGTCATATTTCTTAACTTTTGAATTAATTTTTAAAAGTTTAAGTATTATTCACTTCTAGTGGATTTAAACAAAACAGGAAAGTGTACAGTATATGTGAATCCAAACACATGCACAAAATGTACTGAAGGAAATGATGATTCCATTATGGTTATGATTATCCCTTCACATGCAAGCTTAACCTATTTCTGAATGCTCTTCTATATTAACATGCTAATTTGTTTTTTTAATCATTTTCCATAACCAAATGCTTTTTCTTTTTCCTGTAATTTTAAAGATTAACATTATTTACTGGCTTAAATGACTTTTCAAAGACAAGATTTTCTAATTTAACAAATGCAAAGTAGTTTAGGAAATTATTTGAACCAGAAAACTTATACTTTTCCTCAGCTGTTTCCATAAAACGTAAACTGATGAGATTAAAATTAGACTTTTCACTTTGTTTACTAATAAGTCAGATCTAGTATCAATGGAACAAATAGGAAGTCTAGATAATTTTGTTTTGTTATTGTCTTTTTCTTAGTTAACATTTATAGTACTTAATTATACTCTTTCTTGTATTATGCTTACTGGTTTTAATTATTTCATTAACAATTTCTGTAGTGGATCTTTTTATGAAGACCAAGGAACTTTGTTGCCTGGATTTTCACAAATAATTTTCCCTTTTCCTTGTATCTTGATTTTACTGGATATAAAACAAACTGGTTGTCTAATGTAGATGTATTTACTAATTTAGTATTCAAAACTTGTCAAATTAAAAATGATTTAACCTTAATTCAGATCTTGTTTTTCTTTTTGTCAACACTTCTATTTCAAATTGTAAGCTGTTAATCTATTGAACCTCACCTTATTGATTATAGACATTCATTGTGCTGTGTTACAAATGAGTCCTTTAATAAATAATTATTTGAGATGTTAAAATCACTTTTTTGATTGATAACCTCAACATTTTGTTAGCAATATTAGATGTGATGTCTCTGTTGGTGCCATAACTAGAAATGATTAATACATAAGGCTTATTTAAAGCTGCTGCAGCCATTCTAAATTACTGCTGCTGCACCAAGCAATGAACTGTCCCCACTCCAGACTGTTTGGATTTAATGACTTTTTTTTTTTTTTTTTTTTTTTTTCCTTTTTCTGACAGAATTTTGTCTGGGATATGCTTGTCAAACTATGCTCTCATATTGTTTCTATTTATTGCCAATTATCAGCTCTCTTCTTTTTTTTATTTTTTTATTTTTTTTTTCCTTTCTTTTTTTTTTTTTTTTTTTTTTCCACCTATGCCTAGATTTGTCTTAGTCTTTAGGTTTTGTCTGCTTCTGTTTTCTATTAGCAAATCTTACTCATCTGAATTTATACCCTAAAGTATATTATTTTTTGAACATATTTGATAGATTACTTTTTTTTTTATTATTTGAATATCAAAAACCAAGGGCTGTGATATTTTAAATGTCTTTTTTTTCTTTTCTCTCTCTCCAATCTTAAACATACATTTCTACATTATATAGTGATTGGCATATATGTAAACTTTTCTGATTTTTAAGGCATAAACATATTTAGAAATTTTTATATTCAAATATAAATTATTTTTTTATGGGACTTTGAGGCAAGTTGTGTGTATGATTTATATATATATATAATACAGTAAGAATATAAAATGTGATGACCACGTATTCATCTAATTCTCAAAAGTGTTGCATTTTGTATGTTAAAATCCAAATAGGCATCTAAATATATGGTAATATATGCTTTAGAAAGCATTTGTTTTACATGCAAACTGTAAATTGTGTAACGTTTTGCTTTTCGCTGTGTACAGATGTATTTGGTATTAATTTTCAATTAATACTTGATTAGTCACACTTTGTAATGGATTTTTTAACATTTAAGGTAATGATCTGAATTAAGGTTGAATAAAGTGATAAATATTTTTTTGCTTGTTTTCTTTTACAGAATTCATTCTGATAACACAAATTCAATAACCCATTTCTCAGCTAATGTCTCTTTTGCTTCATGATCTTTATCTCTAATTTTCACATGGTGGATTTGATTTGGATGGGCTTTAAAATGTTTTTTTTAACTTCTCTGTAGATAAACAAATTCAAAAACCTATTATATCTATAGTCCTGTCTAAAATAAATTATTCTTTGAAGTCATTTTTGCTGATAATGCTCTTTGCTTTATGCATGTTGTCAAATCTCTTTACATTTCCCAACTTTTTCTGTTTTACAATAAACCCCAAAAGTTTTTATTGTTCCCATTGACTCTGAACCTCTTGCTGAGGTAACTTGCTGCCAGCTTGGTTATCTATCTTCATCCATCCATAAATCTGCTGGTACAGCAGATAACTTGTCAGAGAACAGGATCTCTGCTGCAGCAGCCTTACTTTTTTTTTTCTTTTCTTTTTTTTTAATTTAAAAATTTTTTTTCTTTTACTTAACTAGCCACTGCCTGTGAAAAGATTGATCATTCGTGGCCATTATCTGGAATGTACATGAGGCTGGAAAGTGGGCAGCAGGGATGGGTGGGCAGGGTGTTTGAGCTGTAACATACTGATGAGCAGTTTGAGAGCTGCAGCTACTCTAGCTGCACCATCAAGCTGCTTGCTTTATGTTTGGCTGTTATGGGAGAATGCATTCTAGGAACAAAGCAAAAATTCCGATGTCATTAATGTTATAGTTGTGGTTTTTATACTACTGTCATAACTACAAAAATCTTTTATCCACATTTTCCTAGTGGTTGGAATCCTTAACTTTTTTACTCGCTCTGTATTTGTTCTTTTATAGCTAGTTATAACATTTTTAATTTAAGTATAAATATTCTGGATACCAGCAGGTGCGTTTTTATGTTTAAGTATAATTCTGTTTTCAAATGGATTTGCCTTAATATTACTCATTTTTATCCTTAATTGTGATTTCTATGACATTGATTTCCTGCCTCATATGGCCTCCAAGAAAAATTTAAAAAAAAAAAAACGAAAAAAAACCTGCACCTTTTTCATAGTTTGACCAAGAGCATTTCTGTGTTTTATTTACCAAATCTGTAGACCAATATAGGGTACTAGTAACAAGTAAAGGATTCCTCTAAATTCCTTGGCTCATAGATTTATTACGTTTTTAACCATTTTACTTACTGACAACCAATCCATTATAAATAATTTTTGATTACAAAACCAGTCATGCAGATAAGTTGTTGTTTGTTTGTGGGGGGAGTGAAATTAATTTCGTTCCTTCATGTTTAAAATGGTTGTAACATCCATCCAGTCCTCATTGGCTCTCTGAAAAGAAAGAAAAGATTTTTTAGCATTGAAATAAGTATAACTCAAACTCTGTTGAATTTTATATTATGATATTAGAGGGATTTAAGAATATTATATCCAGTTTTAAGAAATGGGTTATTGTATTAATATTTTCCTGTTTTATAAGTTGGTTTTTATGTTTTATAAGTCGGTTAATTAGTGGGTTATTAAACATTAAAAAACCTAAATTAAGTTTCATTAGTTTCTTGTAGTTTGACCTTGAGAGCCTAAGAAATTTAAAATAAATAAACTGGTTCTGTAATCCCCCAAATTAATTTAGCATTCAGTTTTCATCTCCCTAACTCATCTACCTTTTTCTTCTATTAGCAATGTATATTGATTCTTTTTCCTATGTAGGCTAGAGCCACTGGTTTGCAATCCTGTGTTGTCGTAATTCGCATTCTGAGAGACCTTTGTCAGAGAATTCCTACATGGACTCCTCTCAATGAATGGGTAAGTTTATTCAAAGAGTAATAAATCCTCATACACAAAACATTTCTTTCATAAATAGTGCTGTGCGTGTTGTTGTTGTTGTTTGTTTGTTTTTTTTTTTTTTTTTTTTTTTTTTCAAGTTCGTATTTTTTTTTCTGTCTTTTTGATAGGCAATGGAGTTGCTGGTTGAGAAATGTGTAAGTAGTGGTGGGACCAGCTTGAGCCCTGGAGATGCTCTTCGAAGAGTATTTGAATGTATTGCTTCTGGAATACTGCTACCAGGTAATGAATTGACATATTCTGATTGTAGTTATGTAAATAGTACATTTTATAGTCTAAATTTTTACAGCTTTCAGGCAAAATTTGATAAATTTTAAACTGATATTTCTATACTTATACAACTAGACCATTTTTAACTTTTCACTTTTGAAATAACAAAAATGAATAATTTGCTAACAATTTGATAAATGTTTTTTTAATGAAATCTAGTATCCTTTTTTTTTTTTTTCATATATATATATATATATAATGCAAACACATCAGAAATCACAAATTCTACAAATTCATTTGAAAATTTGTACATTTTCATTAATAACAGAAAACTATTACAAAGCATTATTTTCAATTCATTTAAACTCCTCTCCACAATTTGTGAGAAAACCAGCTCCTGTAAATTGTTTTTACAAAATACTATTATAAGTGGGCAATTGTCACTAGTTACAATCAGATGAAGAATTTATGAATGAAAAATTTCACATTATTCCTGTGTTAACTGTTGGCTTCTGTTAAAAATGTAAGACTTGGAGGTTTGTATGTACTTACATATTCAGGATCCTATTTTATTCTCTCTCATAAGACTCATATTACATCTTTAGCATTATTAAAGAGAGATGTAGTAAAACCTGTAATGTGATGAATTTTTAAAAATAAGATTATTTCTGAAATAATTTTACTAAGAGAATTTGATAATTTCTAATTTTTTATGCTGTAGTTGGTTCAGTCTTCAGTCTCAATTCAGTGACCTTGAGCAAAGGTTAGGTTAAATTTAGTAATCAAAAATTCTTGATTTTTTTTTTTTTTTTTTTTTTAAGTTTTTGTTTTTTCACATCAATTTAATTTCAGGTGGACCTGGGTTGTATGATCCCTGTGAAAAAGAAGCTACTGATGCGTCAGCTTCATTAACAACGCAAGAGAGAGAAAATATTACTGCTTCAGCACAAGTAAGTACTACATTCATTAACTTGGATTTATTTTACCAGTTTATGCTTAGTTATTCCTTAAACTAGTTTGTCTTAAGAAGGCTGCTAATTTTTTTTAACCTATGAAACTTAAAGGTGTCTTGAAAAAAATCATAATTTAACCTTTTTAAATTTTAAGATGATAAAATTCATATTCATAAATATTTCTGTCTACATTTTATTTTCCAGCATGCTTTAAGGCTAATTGCATTCCGACAAATCTACAAAGTATTAGGTATGGACCAGTTGCCAGCCCCACGTTTCCCCAGACCTAGGTTTAATCCTCGCAAACGTAGACGAACTAACAGTGCCGGTGAAGGAGAAGGTAAGTGATTCCTACTTCACATTTATGTCTCGAAACATCCTACATATATTTGTAAAATAATCTCTAATGAACTTTTCAGTAAAAGGAATACTCATTCAGTTCCCAATTGCTAAGCATTTTCGCTTTAACTTTCTATTAGTAGTAATTTTGTTTTCTTTTTTTAACTTGGAATTTTTTTTTTGTGATTTCTATAAAATCTTTCTGGTTACATTTATGTTATACTGGATTACCTATAATTCTAAGATATCAGATAGAGTAGAAAATTTACTTCTAAAAGTGATTTTTATTTGTACTTTTATCTTCTTTTTTTTTTTTTTTTTTTTTTTTTCCAGGTGGTGGGGAAAAGAAAGACAAGAGAGATGCTGATAGTGATATGATACTGGAAATGTCTGACATTTAATTTTCTATTTTTCCCATTCTTTTAAAGATTCTTTTCCTCTTTTGTTAGTCCTTTAAAATCAAACTGTCCTTTTAAAAAAATTTCTTTCTGGTCTTATTTTAAGTTCTCGCCCATATCTGCTTTTTTCTTCCCTTCCCTTCCCATTTCCTTTGCAAATAGCTTCTGCTTTTAATATATCTTTAATTAAAATAACAGTCAATAACTGATTTGGGCAAAAGATAATTGCCTTGGCAGTGATGAAATTCATGCTTTTGCCTTTATCATCATGGTCCATGTGCACTGTTTTGACTTAGTTGAAAATAAACTAATCGGCAAAATTTAGACTTATTCTTTTTTCATATAATATAAGCCTTGTCAGATGATGATATCTCCCATTTGATTAACAGGAAATTCCCCCAGTCTAGAAAATCGCATTTTATGAAGATTTGTATCAATTGGAAAATATTCAATTAGGCTGAAACTTTAAAATTATGGTAAAGTAAGTGTAACTTGCTTACAGGAGGAGGAATTAGATTTGCATGCTCTCTCAAAAAAAAAAAAATTATAATGTAGCATAGTGGTAATGAGGGAATAAATTCCTGTATTGATATTTATACATGTAGCATCATAATTTTTCACGACATTTTGCACTGGTTTGAAATCTATTTTTCTAATGTCAAAATAATCCTGATAAATTTGGTATTTAAAAAGCAACTAACTGGAATTTTACTTTTGCATATTTTCAATCACGCACATACACATTGGCATGGGATAGTTGCCCAGTATCATGTAGGAACACCTCTAGCCTACTGGTGCAGCAACTTGACATTGGTTCCACAAGTAGCTAGAAGACCTGCGAAGAGATCTTGAGTCATGTCATATTAATGGCTATTCACAATTCCCTGATATTTGTAGGATCTTACATGTAAATAGACCACTTCAACATATCCCTATGGTAAGGAGCTTCATGGGGTTTATGTCAGGTGAATGTACTAGCCATTGATGGAAATCTCCAGAATGCCTCTCAAGTCAGTTCTTGGCAGTTTGGATCACAGTGCTGCTGGAATAGTCCATCCTTAGACTATGTGGGACCCATGAGTGTAAATGGTCACAAAGTAGTGTATTGGTCAATTGTATGTTTAGGTGGACCACTAGTCCCAGCCATGTTAGCACATATCTCAACATTGTTTGTATGGTTCACTGACAGCAACTTCGCTCCACGGTTTTATAGTCTGCATCACACCATAAACCTATCATTAGCCTGAAACAATTGAAACTGATTTGTCAGAATACACCACATTTTGCCAGTTCTCCAAATTCTAATAAGCAACATCACAAGCCTAGGTAAGGAGCTGTCTGGTGTTAACAGGAGGATTCCTGTAGGTCTTCTGCTCTCATGAAAACTAAAGAATTCTGAACTGACTTGTTGGCTATGTCTAGTACCTCTTCTGTTGGATATGATTTGAGCTTGGGTTGTTTATCTTTTACCACAAAGAATTCTATCCAGCTACATCTGGTTACAATCATTAAGGACTCTTGCTCACTATTGCACTGTTGAAGGTGGCTAGTAATACCATTCATAAAGTATTCCCAGTACACAAATGACACTAAATCAAGGAATATCAAATACCTTACAATTTCAAAAATAGAATATTCAAGCCATGTATCACCCGCTACCATGCTCAATTTGAGCTCCAATAATTCATGTTGTTTGTCATGAGCAGCCGAGCTAGTGTTTACACTCACTCACCAGATGTCAGTGCACAATTGATGTAAGTTCAGGGATTTCTGTGGCACTATCTGCTATAACCTTTAAATAATGCTGTGCTATAATTTTTGTCATGTACCAAAAGGTTTTTGGGCCAATCAAGGTGTTTAAAAAAAATTGTTTAATCAGTTGATCAGATTTTGTGAAATGAGTTTGTTTAGGAACTTTTGAGCACCCTTTTTGTGTGTGTGTGTGTGTGTAACAAATAATGGTGTATATATAAATTGCTAGCAAAAATGTAACCAAATATCTTTTATAATATCTCAATAGGGGAATACAAATCAGTTAACAACACTTTTTCATTGCACACAACCCTTGAAATAAAAGTTTAAAGAATTTATTAACTATTCATTATGAAAATACCAATTGATTCTCTTTGGAAAATATCTGTAAATATAATTCACTAATCTTAGTTTGTGCCTTTTTAATATAAAATAAATTTCTATAAAGCTTGATAATGTTTACAATTATGTTTTTAGAAATCTAATCAATTAATTGTAACTTCTAATTTAGAAAGGAAAGCTCAAGTAAAAGCTGATGGAAAACATTTTTCTGTGATATAACAAGTTATATAAATAAATATGAGATTGTAGCAGTTTGCTTTTATTTTATATACAGGGGTAGACTTTTCTCATTCCACTGCCCATGTCTATGGATGTCTCATCTAGTCCTTATTTTTAGTAGATATGGGCCATGGGCAGTGAAATGAGGAGGGTTCAGTTTGGAATTCCCTGTAGGTTACCTGGATTGATATACACATGAGGCCAGAGAACACAACAGCTGAAACATGATATGATCAACAAAGATAACAACAATAGTCTGCATGTAAATAGTGTAAATAATGATGATTCCTCATACCAGAAATTGACAGAAATAGTAAAAAATGCTTAAAGCTTAGCAAAAACACTATTGGCTGGTATTGACAGAATACATGTCTTTCTCATGGCATTTTTTAAAACTACAATATAGCTATAATTAAATATTGTTTCATGTTTTCAAATTGAATAACTGTAAAAGCTCAATCAATAGGTCATTTTTAAAATACTTGGTATTATTTTAAAATTGATTTTATACGACTGTAACTATGGAGCATTCTTCAACTTTAGATAAAATGTTTATTTGCCAAATTTTTTAATTGCAAAAAAATGAACAAAAGTATTAGAATACCCGTTATTAAAGATAATTTGCTGTTTATTTTTAGCTTGTTTCTAAATTTGATAATGTGTAATGTGAATGTTTCTTTTGCATAAAAAGGCATGGTATCTGATTGCAAGATTTACTGGCTAATCTAGTGCTGCTTTAGTTGATTAATGCAAAAATATATCAGAATTAGGTTCTTCCACCATTGATCACTGCCTAACATTCTGGTCTCCTACTCACAAATAAAAGAATATTATATTGTGCTATGACATTCCACTTCTCAACCTTGGCTATACACAGTTCTCAATCATTTGATTGAGAATTCTGATATAGACATGTCTGTTTTATTAGTCTCACAATTATTCTGTTGGCAATATGACTGGAGCACAAGCATCTTTTGAAATATATACCAGCAGGATGAGGAATTACATTATCATCATTAAAGATGAAGTTTGGATCCTTGATGGCACCACAAGTTCAATAATATCCCAAAGGTAAGATTGGCTACTGATAGTTCTTTAAACAATGATTATTGTCTGTCTTCCTATTGCTGGTTATTTCCTAGCTCAATGGTTTGGGAACATGAGCTGCATCATAACACTTACCCCTGTGTCTCCATACATCAACAACCATTGTTTTATTACAGTGAGTCTAAACTCATCATAAACTTTCAGCTATTGAAGTATTTAGCAATATCTCTTAAAGTTGTTGCACAACAGCCACTTATCACACAGCCCAAAACATTGAAGTTGATTTTTTTTTTTTTTTTATCTGATGGTATGCTCTTATCACCCTTGTTTGGAGCTGGTTTGCAGTTGTATGTCAATAGTACAAGTCATAGATCCAAATGTATGAAGTTCTGTATAACAAAAACAAAATCTATATTTTATTTATACAGAAATCTTTATTAAACCACAAGTGATGTATGGAAAGAAAACAAAAGAATATTTAACAGACTTCTAAGATGTCTTTAAATTGATTGGTATACTTATATATTTGATTTTATCTCAGAAACACTATAAGTTTGTATGAAAAAAAGCATTATTTGCAATATTTAAATAACATAACTTTGCATTTTCTTATGTTCAATACTGTCCGGATATTAGCTAAGCAACAAGTGCTCATCACTTGTGGATTAATCACTTTCTTGTCATACCTCCCCCAATGGCACAGAAAAAAATGTTACACATACAAGGTATATAAATTGATATTGAATGTTCTTGACTAAATGACAAAGGGGATGACTTAATGCTCTTCGTGTGAGCACATTGTTTCTGAAAGAAATTTCTAAATGTTTAGTTATTGCAGTGCTTCTATAATATTAGGAAATAGACCGAGAAAGATTTTATGATGGTTGAAACTCGCAAAGAACAAATTCTTCAAAAATTTATCATTTTGCCAGCCCTGTAAACCATTGTCTTGTCCAGCAAAAGAGAACGTCTTTCCAAAGTTTCTCTTAACATTTCTGTTTCCGTGTCGCTAAGTGGCACAGCCAGTTAGAATACTATCCATTATTTGTTTGGCCCTTTGTCAAAATACCCTCCTTATTCCCAAAACTATGACCATGACTGTTCTTGATGACTTTTGGCTTTTTAATTTCTTTGATCATAGAGAACATCAATGCTACCACTCTGTGCACTTTGATTTGCTTGCTCTCCACATCAGTAGTGACAAAACAAAAAATAATTATCACTGAGAATGGAAAATTGACTCAGAATTTATATATATTGATATTATTTCTGCTCACCATTCAAAATAAAAACATTTTGACATCAACTTAGCTAACAAATTCTATGTATTCAACTACTTGTAAATTATAAGCTCAAAGCATTCTCTAGATATCTAATATCTCAGCAAATTATGACCAAGATTCATCAATCAGACAAAATTAGGTCATTAATAGTTTCACCATTATAAACTGCAGCAACTTGGGTGTCAAAAACTTTTGGAATTTGATGCACTTTCACAGTTGAGTAGAATGTGCACATTAGAGTTTTTTGTTTTTCAGAAACACAGACTTCATGACAGCTCTGAATCCAACACTTGAAAATTCCACACTTTCCATTCACATTATTTGATTGGTGATTTGGAGCAAACTTGAAATATGCACAAGGGCCAATTGTCATTTTTCTGATATAAAAAAAAAAAATTTCCAACTAAAATGGCAAAATAATGCTTAGCATTCTCTTCTAATATATATTACACATTTTATACAACTGGGACAAAAATTATTAGTGCATAAAATATGCAGATAAATAATAGATATTTTAAAATCTAAATTTTAA